AGCAGTACGTTTATTCGTTTGCGAATACATCGTTCCTCTGATCAGTTACTTCATGCCCAGTGATAATCTCAGGTTTAATGAAGAAGGATTTCACCTTGCCACGATGTTAATGGCTAGGATTAGCCAAATCCCTGCAGAAGAAATTGTTGGCGACAGTGCGAAGGATTGACAATGGCACCTTCCCGTCGCATGGGTCGTAGCGTGATGGATGATGCCTATATATAAATAAACAGTTTGCAATATTAGAATGCAAAATGTTGAGATGAGCGGCGCGAAGCGTTAAACAGCATACAGTTTTGAATGGAAGATGATGGTCATGCAAAAAAAAGACAAACTGTCCTGTTCAGAATTGTGTATTCTTTTGATATGACAGTATTCAATAAAACTTGATCACGTGTTTAATATTCAACGCCCCAAGAACGCCATATTACCCTACCCGGTCATTCAACCTGAATATCTAGCTACAAAACTTACCGATAGCTTTAAGGCATCGGTATATGCAAATTAGCGCATATCGATATTAACTGGTGCCAGTTAATACATATCATTCTTCTCAGGCACAGTCATTATCTAAATGAGTGTTTAATGATATGATCGTCACAAACGGGCAACATCCTAAGTTCGATATATTGGCCGTTGTGAACAAAACTAGACACCGCACCTCATTTGGACTCAGCGGTGCATGGTTTCGCAGATAAGGAAAACTTATACCCTGAAAAAGTGTACTCGTGGTTTCTCCTGCTTGTCATTAGCTCAGTGTTCGTCATCTTCGACTACGAGGTCATCAATCCATCTGTCAGTGTGAAAGTATTAGAGGCATGCGGGCGGTGACACTTGGCATAACTTCTGCCTACCAGCCGAATTGGCATGGTGCTGAAGAAGACTGTATTTCAAGGTCTTTTGAATGTCGATCTCGAAGAGATGCAGGATGATTACAAGTACGGAACAAAGGCAACGAATCGCATGTGGAATATCTCATTTCCAATATTTCATAAACATTCACCAACCATGGAAACTCTAGCCATACTCGTAGCGTCGATTCTTGTTCATGCCAGCAAAAATTGAATCATTGAATTACGCGGATAGTGCCATCCTTAGGAGCTCGGCTACAAAAGACTCAACCATTGCCTTAACCGCGAATTTCTTTGAGGAAAGAATGGCGGAAGGCATTGCTTTTTCCGGGTGCTTCATTCCTTCATTACCCGTGTCACTCACGCTCCTCCGCGAATATCCATTTTCTCTAACGTGACAGGTTTGTCTCTGTTCTCCGAGTGACGGCGCTCCCTCCTAATCCCACGTATTATTGTCGGCAGATGCATGGCGATTTGCAATCCCGGCTTAGCGAGTTATTGTTTACAGAATTATTAAATAACACATTTACATTATTATAATATTTGGTGTTATACAATCTTTGTAACTTTTGTAACTTAAAGTATTTTAATAAGGGATAATTAATAATCTGCTGTCAATTCTCCTGGGTTTGCACGGTAGAGACGAACCATCTCCCTTTTCTAATAGGCACCATTTAAACTGGCGCAGACTGCATTGTATTTTAGCACTTGAAGTGCATAAAAACAACGCATCACCGATCAGAGAGCCGGGAAACGTGTTTGAACATATACCAAATTACTATAATTTGTAGACAACATTTCATATTAATAACCTGTATTATGCCAATAATGCCGCATTATGCTAGTATTCGATACCATCGATGAGAATAACAGACCACTCTCTGGATTTTTTCGGCGTACCCATGCTTTTAGTGGCCTACGGGAGCTTCTTGAGAGTGTTCAATGAAACTTTTGGGATTTATGGTGGAAGCTTTGTTGCTCGCGACTGGCCGTTTGGCTTGTTCGAAGTAGTTAAATATGAATAAGAAATAACTCCCTTCTATCATGTAAAATTATTACCTTTATGATAGAATTAATGGAGAACTGAGAAATTCGTATATTGCTTAAGTGCACATTCTAAATGAAGAGCTTACCAGTTATTTCAACAGTAGTGTCTATAGTAATAGGAGAAAATGATTCTGTAACATCGTAAATGATCATAAGGATCTATTCAGCGGACATAACGTTCTTCAATTCCTTGCATAACTGGTGGGGTTTGTCTGTGGCGCACTTCTTCCAGTCATGCGTCAGACTATTTTCGCAAAGTTTGAGACCTCTGTGAAAAAGCATACCATGGTAGGTACAATGGGTCTCAAGGGACCAACAGGCTTTTATGTTTTAAGTCAATAAATGTACGATACGACGTGATTACGGTTAATTATGAGAGATATTTCTATTAGCGGATGATTATTTTGGACAGTACTCTGTAAAATTGCTCAAAAGTTGGAATCTAAAATAGACAGGCACGTGTTTTTCGGTTTGACTACCAACGCAAGACCAAAATGTTCAATAAATTTTCTTATATAAAAACATTTTGCAAAGACGAGCTGATTAATAACACTGCATTTAAAGGCTATTACTTTCGAGAACACGTGTACGAATGTAAACGTTGGACTTGTCCTGGAAGGAACTATGGACGTGGACGAAAATATGCACTGTTGCCCTCGGCATTTTATTCACCGTTTAAGCACAGAGGACAATCTACCTCCTGTGCTGAAGTGCCTCAAGCCAGGCGATGAACTTCTAGAAGCAAACGGAAGACCGCTGTATGGAAGAAATTACACGGACGTCATCGAGATCCTAAAAGCTCTGCCACAACACGTCACGATGATATGCGCAAGGAAGCGGAAAATTTCCACCACTAACTTTTACCAGCCAACGGATCCGGTGGATGTGTATGAAATTCATGCAGCCGACGAAAAGTTGTTCAAAGTAAGATGTCCGCAAAAACTGACTTTTCATGTTCATGTGATAAAAGCACTTCGCTTTTAGCGAACTCAAATGAACTTTACAGTCATATCCCGTGTAACTTAAGGGTACGTTCCTGGAAACGAGAATCAGTGTTTTTTTTTGGGGGGGGCAGAGGGTGAACGTTTTATAGCAATTGTTGAGACGAGTTTCCGATACGATATTTACTGCATATTTTTAAAATATGTAGCTGCGCTTCTTTAAGACAAGAGGCATGATCCAGTCATAACCACACTCTGGAATTCACGTTGTTAGCTCCAAAACAAAGCCTTGCGTTGGACAAGATTTTACGTGAACTATTTTATTACCAAAAGATCATTCTCTATTCATGTTCATTGGTTGGATCTCTAAAACAAGTGTAACACGCTGTTTAGAATATCCTCTCAATGTTCAAGGTGTTACTGAATGATAAGAAAAGTAATTATTTAACTTTAAATCTCTAAAGCACTACAGTATCTTCCAGAATAAGTTATTCTTTTTTTAGCAGCTTAAAATCATGCTCCATTTCTTGGTAGATTAAACAAGGCCATACAATGAAATTGCCTTGCGATTAAAATCGCTTTCATCCTATTTAAAACGAGGTAAGGAGGAGGATTGCGACGATCGATATTTGCTTAGAGGGTGATAAAGAGTTCGGTGACGCGCTGCTGGTTGTTCGGTAATCAGCACTAGTCTGCTCACTACTGAGTTTCGCGCTGTACAGGTTACTGTATTATCATCATTATAATCACCCATGACCATTTCTCCTTTCGGGTCGCGGAGGCAGTTCTTCCAACGTTCTTGATCTTATGCCAGAGTCTGAGCTCCGATAGAAGACAGCTGTAGTCTGGAACAGACTCCTTCCATATATTTGCACAGGATAATCTTGGCCGTCCCCTGGGCCGTCAGCTGGACAATTTGTAGCTCCTTCACCCTCCTTCCTGGGTGAAGCATTCACAACACATGCTCAATCGATCGCAGCTGTGACTTCTCAATCTGAAGAAATAGCGGCTGCACAACTGAACACTCGCCGATG